AAAAAAAAAAAAAAAAAAAAAAAAAAAAAAAAAAAAAAAAAAAAAAAAAAAATAACAAGAAGAAAGATGATACAGCTTCAGCATGCCGAAGCTCAAATGCCCTTGTATAATTTAATGGAAGTACTTATATGGAATAGTAGAGTCGAGCTCTTGATACTTATTTAAATAAATGATCACTTACGACAAATACAATTAACATATAAAATACATAATTTCATCTATATACAAAATAATTGTATTTATTTGTATTATATAATTTGATATTATTTATTTATGAAACTTATATGAACAGACATAAAGCAGATTCTATATAAACACTTATAGAGTTCATTCAATCTCTGCTGAGAGCCTTACATGTTGCTCTCAGACATAAAATTCTCCTCGACAAGCGTATAGTAAAAGTAAAAGCAAAAGAAGCGCCGCTGCTGACTGAGGCAGCCAAACAGGCTCTCGCAGCTGGGCATCCCCTATAAATAGGATTGCACTTCTGCTGGCCGTTTCATTCAGTGTTTTGTGCTGAGTCCGAGATGTTGGGCTGACGGTCAGCAATCGCTCCTGCCGGAAGGACAAGCAACAGCCACCAATTGGATTCGCGAGCAGGGAGCCCAATGCGAGGCGGTGCAAAGCAGAGTACTGCTCTGTAAATTGTAATGCTAATGCCTTCCGAGGAAAATCTTTATCACAATGGGTCGTTAACGTGTTCCTCTTTCTTTTTAGACGACACCAGAAACAGAACCAGAACCGATTGGCAGGCATTTGCAATAGCATTTAACTCAATTGGAATGTAAGTGAGTCCCAGCTCCGGCCCAACGCCCCACGCCCACGCCCACGCCCGGCACACAACACCAACAACACTTTCGGCAGATATTTGGCTTATCACATCTAAACGTCATCCAGCAACCGGCAACCAAGGCCATTTAACGATGCAAATAGGCCCGGCGACCACTTTGTGGCAGTTCGCATTGTCAACCAGAGACCATCGTCCTTTTGCATTTATCCCAAGGCATTGAATCGCACGGAACCGTTGGAGAAACCCCAAGCGCATTTTCGGCCAAACACCAAAATTCACACTTGCGATTAAGTTTAGGTGTAACCAATAAACACGTCAAAAACTACAATAGGCTACCAAATTGGCTCATGTGTATTTACTCAACAACAAGGGTACTGTTCCCCCATCGTAGGATAGAGTCATCCTAAGTAGACAACCTATGTTCGAGGGGGACAACTGCTTTTGCACAGGGATCTACGACTCTAAACTTTTGCATTCCCGCGAAATGATCATATGTCGACAAATTTAATTTTAAAGAACAAACTTTTTCCCAACCGGCGCTGATACCCGCCGAACACCAGAAGTTTCCTACATACTTCTCATCATATAATGGAATGAATATCTAAAAAATGTAGATGGTATTGGAACCCTCAAGATAAATAAAATAACAATCTAAGAATCTAACAGATCGGTACTGATGTACCGAATGCTACAAATACTCATAGGTTCACTTCAAATCCAGTTCACAGACTTTCTGAGTTCGTAATTTATTTTAAAAATGTCGTTAAGGCACCCACAAAGCCTTAATATTTTTTTTGCAGTGCAGAAAAACGAAGTAGTTTAACATAATTAAAATCTCAATGCGCAAATTGCGATTGTAAAAATATGCATGAAAATTTTTTAATAACAAATATTTCGTTATGATTGCTTTACACAAATGCCGTCGCAGTGGCATGTGAACAATAATTTATGTATATCAAGGTCAGAGGGGCCCCCACAAAAGCCCATGACTGGAACTTATGGATCGGAGCAACAAAGCCACATGTGTGTGCGAGTGTGCATGTGTGGATGTGTGTGAGTGTGCGTGTAGGGCTGCCGAAAAATAATAATAACTGCAAACTGGTTTGCATTACTTTAATTGCCATTATTTCACTCAGTTGATAGCTCGCAGTTGGATGTTGGCTTGCAGGGCCGTTAAGGCCCCGTATAGACGGCATATAGCTGACTAACTGCTCCACTTGGCTTGAGATTTCCCATTAAACATAAACATTACAAGCTAACTAAATATTTGTAAATTTGTAAATTGTTGGTTGCTTTTGTCACTCTTATAGCGACGCGCACAGCGTCAGCTCTTTAAGTGCTTTGACTTTAGTGCCAGCCCATCAAGTTGATGTCCATTTATTGTAATTAACAAGCTCCAAATTCCAGTTACCTTACTCGTACCCCCATACACAAATTGGCTTGAGTTGAGCTTATGCCAAACGCCAAGCAAAAAGCCACCGACTAAATTCCAATTAGAGCTTGGATCGAATGTGCTTATGCCCTGAGCCCATTGCCAATGGCAAATCAGGGTACGTAAATTTTTTGTTGCAATGGGGTTGAGTTCTTACATATAGTTTTGATCAGGATGACGGGTGCAAGTCTTGACGTAGCCATATATACCTCTACAGCAGTATTTCTATAACCGTTTGGCGGGTTAGCTTGCACTTAAACGGCTAGAAACTTGAGACTTGAGTTGACAAACTAAATCAAGACTTTGTATATG